TATTGATAAATTTAAACAACACATAAGTAGGGCCAAGAGCCCACAAAACAAACAACTCACGTGCACGTAGCCATTGGTTCCAGGTAGATATTATATTAATGGGGTGTCCATGAGCGTGGGCTCTAGTTTGAATCCAGGAATGTGTTTATAGTAGTAACCATAAGGCTATAAGAATAGTTTTGCAGAGTTTAGTACTTTGTGCGGCTTGCTTTTCTTGGACCTCACATCAACTTGAATTGAACTTTCTTTACATGTATCGAAATGTTTGCGCACTGTTTGTCATACTATCACGATAAAGGGCGAAACGCCGGGCGGACATCTGTCGTATTTTTAAAATGTCTTATAGTCTGAAGGAAGGCCATCTTCAGAAGTGGTCTGGTACCTCTCACGTTTTATTCGATATTGATATAGATTCCAAAAACAGATTCAACCCCGTATATGCGAAGCTTCTGAGCAGTGGTTGGTTTCAGTGGTTTGAATCACAGAGTTCTCAGTCACCAAAAAGAAGTATAGACGTTAGAGTAAGATTAACTTTATCTGGTTTTACATGTTTTACAGACTGTGGCGCCCTTTATCGCGTTTACCACCACTCTCTACCAAGTACCATGCAGACCATCTAGCATCGGGGATTCTGATATCCAGCGAGCCTTTGGAATGCCTCATGAGCCTCACAAAGGCACAAAAATGTCTTTCTTTGTGTGTCCTGACGTAAACGAGTTAAGGTAAGCTGCCGATTTCATCCATAAGCGTTTCTTATTGTGTCTGAACCTGTTTAAATTTTTACCCTGTCTTCTCTTGGAGATGGTTGCTTTATAATTTTATTTAGCCTTAGGTATCATTCCAATTGACATTTCTGCAAACAATTATCTATCTGATTATTCTATTTCTGCCCTTCATTTGATTTTATTTCTTTATTTCAGCGCATGGGTCAATGCCATTACTGGTCTCGTGAGTTTTGTGACTATTTATTTTTCGTCCGGATCGATAGCAATTTCTGGGCGCGGGTATTTGTATGGTTATAAGACCGAAGGAACTCTTTTTTTTGCCTGTCTAAAGCTCGTCACTCTACCCTTTCAGCTGCAACCCGCTCAATCGGGCATACCAAGTGGAGCAGTAGGGCCGCCTTACGCATCTGCACCACCGCCATACCAACCGGCCCCGTCGTCTGGAGGGATTGGCTTCGGTGGTACGTTTCGAAATTAGTCTTCTTAAAGTGGATTGCATGTCTGATATTTCGAACAAGACATCATACACTAAGCCCACATGTGTGTATTCAGGTATTTTGTTTAACTTTCGAATTTTACTTATTCATGATTCGCAGGCTGAATAATTAATTCACACGTTTTTATTTTTCGAATTATCATGATATTTCACACCATGCATAGCTTAATTTCTTACTAAAACCGCACTTTTCGGCAAGTCTTAAGCCTATCTGTAACCTCCTTCAAAGAGAATTCAACAGGCGACTGTGCATATGAAACATTAATTCAAAACGCGGGCAGAATTCTGTGAAATACTGCGAAATAAGGGCAGCACGTAGTCCACAAAGGGAATATGTTGCAATAAACAAAGAATGAAGCAAGCGAGTTGCAAAATTACCCTCATTTGCCAATGAGAATTTCTCATTCAATGGAGACGGAAACCTTTTATTTTTCTTATTTTTTCTTCATGCCTGATCTTTCTATATGCACTGAGGCTCGTAGAATTGTCCAAACAACGTACAGTTAGTGGTGTATCTCATGATACATTAACCAAAATTCCGAAATTTGATTTCAGTTACGAGTTGTTCTCTTGGCTATTTTACTACATAATCCCAAAATATTTCAGTCACACCGGGGCGCCAGCTTTTAGATGCACTCCTTTTCGGTCCCCTGCAAAAATCACATGTTGACAATAACTACCTGAGCAGCATTATTTTCTCCTATTGAGTTTGGATATTTCCATACATTCAAATATAATTTACAGAACGCATGCGCGAAAATATCGCTTCTTATGTCGATATTTTAGTAAATTACGCTTCTTTATTTCTTCCACCTAAGCACTGGCTATCTCCAAATGTTAATTTTTTAAACTACCGAAATTAACTTGAACACGTGTTTAAGTTTCCAAACATCAAGCCAGGTGCTTTTTCTTTAAAGAAAAACCTAAATTTATTTGTGTTACTTAGCAGTTGCCGTGTTCAATTCGTATGATTGTGCAATCGATATGAGCTACGTTGTATGCTGAATAAGGAGCTCTAATAAATAAATAGATACGGTGACATTTCAGTGGGCATTTATTTTACTGTCTTTTCTTTGAACATAACATTTGAAGAAGGCGTAATTTACTACCAAATGAGTGCAATGGGGGGTATATTTGTGCATACATCTTATCAGCTAAGGTTGAATTTGGAGAAGTGTGATTTTTGAACACATGCATTTAAAAACGAGTACTGATTTTTGTCAAACTTGAAATTTAATCGCATTGAGACGCAGGTTTATTGATCCTGCTTGCAAAACATACTTTCCAAGATGTTTTGGTAACTAAAACGTTGCTGACTGTTGATGGTAGGTTTATTGATCCGTGATTTCGAACTCGAACAAGAATTAATCATCAGAAACTGTTAGGACGTAACGACTTGTGAACGTTTGTTCAGTTGTACCGTTGGTGTGAATGTTTACATCCGTGCCTTGGTTTGGTTCGCGCTGCTTGGCTCACAGTTGTCTCACGATGTGGTGACAGCGCTTGGCTTTGACACAAATGTTAGCTGCGTCGCCTGGTTGCATGGGCGTAGCGCATGATAGCACGGGGATAAGTCAATACGTATGTTTATGAGTTTGGAGTCTCACACCTCTAACAATTATTGCCCGACTTGTGCGTGGTCTTCCTCAGGTGTGCGGGTGGTGGCCTGAGGCCGTGGGTCGCCCCTCCGAACGGCCCGTTCGTGCTCGAATATTTGCTATCTGAGGTGTCGTCCGGTTTGGACTTTATAATGGCAAGAACAGTTATAGTACAGCATTTGATAAACTGCACCCGATTGCTCACCTAAGTCCAGTTGGTTTTTCATCCTTATGATTCTGGTAAGCATGATAGCTGTTGAACCACAGATGATAACAATGCCTAGCTTGGTCACGATGCATTCTTTTGCCTTAGATATATTTTTATGTACAGAAGCGAATGCCAGATAGTTTTCTGTCGTGGGCGCTTACTTGTGTAGCCGCTTGTGAAATTTTTCAGATAGCTGTTCTCTGTCAACTAGTCTTTAAGATACCGTAGTTATTGTGCTCTTCCTTCGGGCTCGCTAAAGTGCGTTTTTTACCCGTTCAAAGCGTACCCTAACACACAGAGAGAGGAATACGTTTTATGTTGAAGGTAAGTACCCCAAAATTGTCGAATGCGTGAGGTAGCATGCTAGGAAGGGGAGTACAGAGTGCTGATATGCTGATGCACGACATGACTTATTTAGAAAACTTCGGCGCATAGTACGGGAAGAATTCATAGCCGTTAGTTCAAAGTGAAGTGGATGAGCAAATTGCCTGACCGTTTTAAAATATCTGCTAAAAAGCATAGGAAACACCAATTGCTGAAAAAAAAACATTCAGAGGATACGTTTAAAAATCAGCAGGTATTTTCAAGCAAGGCCGGAAAACAGTAGACAGTAAGGAGGAGAATGCAGCCCTCTATAAATCGCCGGCTTAGGGCTTGAGGGGTGTGATATGAACATAACCGACGAATATAATATAGAAGTTTACGAATTTTAATAAGTGGGGTTTCAACATGAAGAGTAAATGAAAGATTAGATGTCAGAGTAACGCCGAGGTACCAGAAAGAGGATACCTCATCGGGAGTAGGTCGCAATCGGAAGACGAACTGGACTGTCTTCTGATTATTTAGT